AGAACGTTGAAGTCAAGAATGTGGCGTCACTTTACAGAGAAATCCACGAACACGTACCTCAACGTCCTACCTCAACTACTAGACCGCTACAACCAGTCAAAGCATAGAAGCATTGGAATGACACCTACCGAAGCATCGAACGGTAGAATACCAAAAGATGCAGATCAACAAGACCCCCTGCAGTCGAAACCCAAGTTCAAAGTGGATGATGAGGTGCGCTTAACCGTATCTAAGCGTCATTTCGAGAAGGGCTACACTGCAAACTGGACGGAGGAAGTATTCAGGGTGGATGACATCCTGCCAACATCACCACACACCTACAGGATTCGTGATCTGATGGGAGAACACATCATCGGATCGTTTTACGAAGCAGAACTGCAACACGCCAGAGAGACCGGTTTGAGATTCGATAAGGTGTTGAAATACAACAAGGATCAACGTCTTGTGCAATGGAAAGGCTACACGGATAATAAATTCAATACCTGGCTCACAAAGAAGGATGTGAACAGTCTTAGATCATGATTCACAATGTCATTCATATGAAAAAATAAAATATAAAATAAATGAAACGAGTGCTCTGTACGCGGGTTGACTTGCATCATGATCCTGCACGGGTAGTGATTGTTGGCGACTGTCCATCTGTTGGATGCCATGCTGATCCCACCACCACCACCACCCACCCTTCTTTCCATGCTCGATGACATTGTCGATAGGTCGCTGATGTCTCATCCAGCGAGACCTTGGTGAGCTTCGGTCCCAGTATATGTAGTCAATTTGAGCCTTCCCTCTTCTGCATAGTCGTCCGTGGTGGTTTGGTACAGTTGGTGCTTTCAGTACGAGAGGTTGCGGGTACGAATCCAGCTTTGTTACATGATGCGTTTTTTTCCCTTCTTTACGGTCCGGGTATAAATAGGCGATTTGAGCCTTGGGTCTTGTGTGTAGTCGTCCTGGTCGTTTGGTACAGTTAATGCCTTCCGTACGAGAGGTTGCGGGTACGAACCCAGCTTTGTTACATGATGCTTCTTTTCTTCAAAGCCTCAGACAGAAAGGCCCTCAATGATTGTTTCAACTATGACTGCATGCCTTATATGACCTGGCCAGGATACGCATGCCATATAAGGCATCTTCCACCCACTATGGAATATGCCTTATTTAAAAACTACAGCATGTACACCTTCCCTATAAGGACACTTCACCCTACTATGGAATATGCCTACTATGGCATCATCCGTGTACACCTTCCCTATAAGGACACTTCACCCCTTTATGGCACATGCCTTCTATGACATCATCCGTATACACCTTCCCTATAAGGACACTTCACCCCTTTATGACACATGCCTACTATGACCTCATCCGTGTACACCTTCCCTATAAGGACACTTCACCCCACTATGGAAGATGCCTTATATGACCTCATCCATGTACAACTTCCTTATAAGGACACTTCTCCCCATATATAGACCAATCCCAAAGGTCAAAGGTCACATTCCCTCTATGGACCAATCATCCGTATTTGGAAAGGTCAAAGGTCACAGCAAAGGTCAAAGGTCACATGGAAAGGTCAAAGGTCAAAGGTCATCTTCCATATATGGACTATTCATCCGTATACGGAAAGGTCAAAGGTCAAAGGTCAAATGACATCTTCCATATATGGACTATTCAGCCTTATATGGCACCTCAAAGGTCAAAGGTCAACTCAAAGGTCATCTGCCATATATGGACTATTCTTCCTTGTTAGGAAGCCAGGGGTCAAAGGTGACTTTTGAGTCAGAACCCCCACCGCACTATACTACTAATGGGTAGTACGCATGGGGGTAGAGGGCACTTGGTAACACTGACTGTGTATGTTGTATTTGAAGTTGCCGACCACCATGTGGTTGACGTGCCTGTTTGAAGTTGCCAGGCATGGGTGGCCAGCTGTGTATGTGTCTCATTGAAGTTGCAATACCTACATTGCTGTGACTCGCCCGATTGATGTTGCCGGGAACCTATGCATATAATTATTTACCTTGTGAAGAGGTATCTCTCCTGGCTTATTGCATAATTCTTGGCTCAATGTTATCCACTGTGTCGCTCATTGCACTGTCTCGCCAACATTTATCAGACCAAATTTGAAAAAAACAACTATGGCAAAGCCCACTACCTTGTATTCTAATTGCTTGGTGTACGTGTGTCCGTATTTTGTGCGTTTGGTATGCCCATCTGTATGTCTGTTTGTGTGTGTGTGTGTGCGTGCGTGCGTGCGTGTGTTTGTATGCGGACATCATCCGACTGCGTTGGCTTGACCATGTTGGCCGGATGAACGACGACCGTATGCCGAAGCCAGTTGTGTTTGGAGAGCTCCCTGCAACGCACCCTCGCCATGGTCCACGCAAGCGGTGGCGTGACGTCATTGTGGATGATCTCCGCTCCATCAGCCCCCTGTGCCTTCTGACTGCTGGTTTGATGCTGCCTGGTTTGATGCTGTTTGATGCTGGCTATTCGAGGACGCTGGCTAGCCTAAGTCAGTCCATGCACGAGGCCCTTGGCCCGAGCACTGTAAAAGTGGTGCTGGGGCATTTTTTGTGACACAGCGTACTAATCTGGGTGCAACAAAGTCTCTGTAGCTCCTCGATATCAGATTCATTTCCATTGAAGTTTGTGTTGACAGAGTTGGTTGTGTATTTGACGATTCTGTCGCTTTGTGGAAAAGAAAAATGAAACTTCGACATCCGGAATGCCAGCGCTTCATTCAGAGATATTTTGAGCAGGAGGCAAAGCTTGTACCCAGTGGCGAAGGTTAAAGGGGAAGTCCGGCGAAAAATTTAAATTTCAGGGTCGGAAGAGTTTCGGGCGCTGAGTCGAATGGTGTTGATCCCACGTGTCTCCAACAAAGCGTTCTCGAGACATTTCCGTTTAAAAAACTGAGTTTCGGGGGCTGCGCCATGACGTCATGCGGCCGCGCCACACCCTCCGCAACGTCCTAGCATGCAGCTAGGTCAAAAGGAGTGCGTGAAAGCAATAGTGTCAGTGCCATTTCAAATGATTTGCCGACCGATAGTAGGTGGTGAAAGCGACCCCGAAGACGTAACTCCATTACATGTGAGAGTGAGGATGCAGCCATGGCTGACCTTCATGAGTTTGATCTGGGGCTGAGAAACTCTGTATTCAGCTGAAGAAATTGCCGCGCGGGCCGGTCAAGAATGAGCGCTACTGAGTTTCCGACTGATGAAGAAGCAGCAGCTGTTGCAGACGAGGCTGATATAATTATCAGATCGCTGGAGAACAGAGTCGTCAAAATGGAGAAGAGTGATGCGAGTGCTCTAAATTGTGTTCCATACCGATTCGCTTGGACTCCAGTAGCTTGCCACATGGTGATGTTTTGGTGTGAACTTGGCATATTTCGGACTACTTAATTGGAGAGCAGTGCAGGCTCTTTGAACCACGGGCACGGCTCTTCGCTCGCATCGCTACGGGATCTGAAAGTTCTAGGTCCGGGAGCTGTTCGCTGTTTTGTCATTTGTCACGGTTGTGCACTTATTGCTGTAGCATAAAATAATGAGGCGGTAGCGGAAAACTAAAATATTCTTTCTCAAAGCACAACCACCGGCACCGGCAAGGAGAAACGCACGTTCTCTGACTACATGACTGAACAATACAACTGATACGAGTGTAGTACATGACAAGTCCGTGTGTTGACTAGTTTTCTGAGTCTTGTGACTCGAGTCTTGTTGTAGCTACCCCAGCTTGGCAGTGCGGGAGTAGTTCTGTGCGTGATGAGTTTGTTGGCTACACTACAGCCAGCATGCACGCAGCGCATTGCTGGAGCCGTAGAGGCCGGTGCAATGCGGACGGAAAAAGTCCAACTCGGAAACGGCTAAAATATGATATAACCTTGAGGTTTACCGAGCTAAAAATCACAGGGTACGTAGTGTTTGTAACACTGTCTTGGTCCGAAGAAGCAGCGACAAACGATTCCACAATCGAACGAGTTCCAAATATGGCCGTTTTGTACACAACTAGATGGTGTGGCTACCTGGCTGCACGCTGTGACGTCATCACCTGGATCTGGGTGATGCGCGCTCAAATTTGCACATGTTCGATTGGGCGTATCTGACGAACCACAGGCCGCAGCCTCCTCGGACAAAGACCATTCGACTCAGCGCCCCGAACTCTACGGACTGTGAAATTTAAATTTTACACCGGACTTCCCCTTTAACTACAGAGGTGATTTCTTCTCTCGTTGATTTCTTTCCTGCAATAGATGAGAATGCGGACGCACCTGACTTGCAAGCGGATTCTGCAACGAGTAGTGCAGAGTGAGGGTAGTAGACCGCAGCCAGATGTGACTAACCAGAATGCAGGAGAAAACTAGGAGCAACAACAGGGGGACAGGCCGCAGGAGGAAAGAATGAGTACCTTCGGCTAACATAATAGGCCAGGACAAACATCACTTGGGACCTTCAATTTCTCTGGGCTGAGCCAGCCGGGAAAAAACCCTCGCGCCGACGGACGCATGATTGAAGGGAAAAAACCGGATGTATAACCCCAAGTGGCAAAATGGCAGCATAAAAACAGGCACAACATATCTACAGCCAAGAAAGAAGGGGAAGAAGATGTGCAGACATAAAGGTTGGGAGGGCGGAGACACTGGTGTGACCCAAAACGGACTGAAGAAGTCAGGCAAAAAGAACAGCAAAAAAAGAAAAAACATCAGATGCCATATTCGCAAGAGAAAAAAATGTTGTTGCGCGGGAGAAATATAACTACGTTCTGACTACATCTCTGATGATGCCCTTCTGAATTAAAATTCGGATAAAAGAGAGTCGTGTTGTGTAGCCATGGACTGTGCATTGCGGGCTGGGGGGGGGGGGGGGTGCAAGTTGAGTTAGACTAGCATGACAAAGGGCGGAACAGAGCCGCCAATTGTTTTTCCAGAGGCAGATGAACTACGTAATTATTGTGAACGACGCGGATTTTCATTTATTGTTATCTTCTGCTTCTATTTTCAGCTAAAATCCCGACTGTGACATACTCTACCGCTACAACATCTGTAACTGCAACATTTTCTGCTTATGAAAAAGGAACTACAGAATTTTGTGTGAAACATAATGCCTCCATGACGCCAGTCTGTGGTAGCACGTTTAATGTACCAATACCTAGCCTCCTGCGATACGCAAACTACTCCATGTTCTCCTACACAAAGACAGGTACCCTGCAATCACAGTCCACTGCTGCTGTGAATTTAAGGACTAATGCTTCAGGTAAGCCATCGATGTATGCTTGCAAAGTGTCTACTACCCATTTGCACTTCACTAACTTATCACTGCTTCAAATTTTGTAACATTTTATGTACAGTCAAACCTCGTTAGGGCGAACTTCAAGGGACTGAACAAGTTTGTTTGTCTTATCCGGAGTTCTCCTTAACCAAATCTGACAGAAACATTGATATGCATAATATTATCATATATTTATCTGAAGGTGCATGCTGTGGCACATGTAAAGCATTTATTCCCGTAGCTATGCAAAAGACGTTACTTCAGTAACGTCTGGCGCTAGCCAGGGTCCACACAGCTTTAATTCCCGTAGCTATGCAGAAGACGTTACTTCAGTAACGTCTGGCGCTAGCCAGGGTCCACACAGCTTTAATTCCCGTAGCTATGCAGAAGACGTTACTTCAGTAACGTCTGGCGCTAGCCAGGGTCCACACAGCTTTAATTTGGTATTTGTTTGTTTGTGTGTTTGTTTGTTTGTTTGTTTGTGTCACGCCTGGCGCTATCCGTATCTGACGGCAAAAAAGCATAGGATGTTATAAATTTTTCAATTCTCCTTTTTTTTCAGGCATATCCTGGGATTCGAACCCGCACTATCGCCCTACATGCATTCCCCCATACACTTCGCATTCATACCCATTCTTCCAAGTTGCTTCACGTTAATCTTGCGTTTGAAAGCCCTATTTGAATATTGCGGGCAGCTAGACGGTGTCGTATTACCCTCGATCGTACCTGTCCCGTACCTATTCCCTACCCTACCGTGCCATCAAAGATGGCTGGCCACAATGCATATTCAAATAGGGCTTTCAAATGCAAGATCACAATGTGAAACAACTTGGAAGAATAAGTATGTATGCGAAGTGTATCGGGGGCTGCATGCAGGGCGCGCGATAGTGCGGGTTCGAATCCCAGGTTTTAAAAAAAGGATTTTTAAAGAAAACATCCCTATGCTTTTTTTTGTCTAGGTCATCAAGGCAAAAAAGCATAGCGCAGGGCCCTGAGCTTCCAAGCTCTCTCGTTTCGTGTTTGTTTGTTTGTGTCACGCCTGGCGCTATCCTGTATCTGTCTAGTACCGTACCATCAAACATAGCTGGCCACAGTATTTGCTGGCTCCCGTATCTGTCCCGTATCGTACCGTACCATCAAACACAGCTGGCCACAAACAGCTAACCACAATATTCGTCGTATGTACTCTTGGTCGTATTATGTATACGACTCCCTGATGTATAGGGAGACTTTCTGGAAAGAAATAGGGAGACGAGGAGGAAATGCAGTTAGAATGGATGTTAGTTGCCGAATAGGTGATAGGATGCGTCAGCAAAAACACACTTTAGAAGAGAGATCCCGTCATCTCCAAAATATGCATGAACAGGCGAGTCAGCGCTGGTCACAGGAAACGTCGGAAGAGAGATCCCGTCGACTCCAGAACGCCCTTGATCGGCAGAGTCAGCGCCGGTCCCAGGAAACGTCAGGACAGACATCCCGTCGACTCCAGAACGCCCGTGGTCGGCAGAGTCAGCGCCGGTCCCAGGAAATATTTCCATCAGTTCTAACAACATGCACGATGAGCTAAGCAACAAAGCATAGCGTAGGGCCCTGAGCTTCCAAGCTCTCTCGTTCCGTGTGTGTTGGTGTGTTTGTGTGTTTGTGCCATTGGCATTCCTGGCGCTATCCTGTACCTGTCCTGTACCGTGCCATCAAAGACAGCTGGCCACAATATTCAAAGAGGGCTTTCAAATGCAAGATCATAACGTGAAGCAACTTGGAAGAATGAGTATGTATGTGAAGTGTATCGGAGGAATGCATGCAGGGCGATAGTGCGGGTTCGAATCCTAGGTTATGTCTTGAAAAATTGGAGAAATGAAAAATGTATAACATCCCTATGCTTTTTTTTGCCTAGGTCGTCAAGGTGGTAGACAGTGTCGTATTACCTTCGAATGCAAAGAGAAAGTTTATTTCTTTCGCTCAGGGCCCTACGCTCTGCATTTTTGCCTAGCTCATCATGCATGCTATTCGAACAGATGGAAACTGTGTGCAATACAATAACATGCATGATGAGCTAGGCAAAAAGCATAGCATAGGGCCATGAGCTTCCAAGCTCTCTCGTTCATAGCATAAGCCAGCAACAGGTAAGTACAATCATGTGCAATGAATTCATGACGGCATGTCCTCCGCCTTGTAAAATGCTATCGATTCGTTTTGCCCATACAGGAGGCCTCCACTATCAAAAAAACTACAGCCAGCGCACGCATGTGGACCAAGCGTTCGTGCTACGTGCTGATTTTGCTCAAATCACGCTTGATATTAGTTCGTCTTCACGAAAGTTCGCCGTACAGGAGTGCGTCGTAAACGAATATTTTTGACTTGATATGATGCCTGTCCAACCATAGGATTGGCCTTAGTTCGTACCAATGGAAAGTTCGCCTTATCAGTGTTCGTCCTATCAAGTTTGACTGTATATAGTAAATGTAGAGATATTTGTACGCTCTCATACCGAAATTTGTATAATTTGTATTATTTATAAGGATTCCCCAGAAGCCGTTTAGGCCTATCGATGGGGTCTCCATTCTGTACAATTAGGATGAGAATATGAGAATACTAAGTGAGCAGAGACTGAGGAGAAATAACAAGACGAATAGGAAAGCTGGTAGTGAGCAAATCAATGAGGAAAACAAGGAATATCAGTGAATACCTTTGCAGTTGAATTGAAACTTTGCTTATCCATACTTTAGCCCGTGCTTCACACAGCCGGACATGTCCATGCGCGTGCATGCGGACCCACACGCATGAACGAGCACACACAGAATAGTCTGGTTGAGTTAAATTGGATAGGTGGAGTGCTGGATTCGAACAACTGGTGCAATGTCACGTGACTCGGCAAATGAGTCGCAACGCGAAAAGACTCTGCTGAGTCGCGAACAGGCAATGACTCTGCAACTGAGTCGCAAGCAAGCAAACAGGGCAAACCAGTTGTGAGCGAACATCCGCACTCCCCAATGTTTTATTTTACTTGTATGGTTTTATTTCGTTTTTTTTAAAGAATTGAATATGGCAAGTTACAGCGGATGCAAGTGCAGACCACATAGGCTGCAGAGAATATAGCAACATGTTAACATAGAGCAACAGCTATAGGGTGGGTGTTGGTGGGGAAGAAAAAGCAAGGAGCAAAACTGTGAAAGCCAGGCAACAGCAGCGAACTCTACTTTCACAAAGGCAACACTCAAAGCAAGGCACGTGGGAAAAGTTTGGAGCGGAAGAAATACGAGGTGTGAGCTGCAACCTCTCTTGGCGCAGTTTCAGAGCTGCGCTGTAGATTACTGATTAGCTACGTGAATCTGCGTGATTGATTAGTGTAATCAAGCTACCAGCTGGCAGGTGTTCATGCGGCGCTAACACGCTCTAGCCACTGGCTAGTGCGCCAATTATGCAGTTCTCTTTTAAACTCAGCAATATTGATGATTGAGGTTATAGTAGGGGGCAGACAGTCCCACAGAGTGCCTGCCTAAACCAGAAATATAGAAGATAGTATGCAGCCATGACGATGGAAGACTGGTTTGTTCGGACGGCGCTTACTTTTAGTAACGGTAATGTGGAACATTGCGAGGTGATTAGGGTGCGAATGGATTTATCTAAAGAGGATGACCAGTGAAAGAAACTGGCATCTAAATTGAATGGATTGAATATGGCATAGCTTATTAATTTTAGATTTTCTTTAGTTTCAAATTTATCAAAGGCTGTGTTACTGGACTTTAACCCTTTGTGCGCTCAACGAGCGATTTCGCTCGTTTCAAATGCGCGTCACATTTTTGATCGTCGCGCTTGACTGGTTTACCGCATCGCGCCGAGACTTCACCACCGCGTACCTGATAAAATTTCCGTGACGTAGGTACTAAACATGATGTAGGTCGCCACTAAAATTTTTTTGATAGCACACTTTGAAAGAGCCGCTTTGCAATTATGTCAAAATTAGAATTTGGACTTATCCAGCGATGGATGCAGACGAGGCGCTTCGCCTAATACAAGACGCGGACCAAGCAGATCTCCCAGTAGAGGATATCGCTTGCTCTTCAGGCGACGAGGTAGGTGACTCGGACAACGATTTTATTTCGTCTGACGAGGAAGATCGCCTGAATGACGATCTCTTTTCCGACTTGGAGCAAATAGGATCCGATTCGGCTGACGATATCGCTATTCCTGTTCCCGTCGCTGCTCGTGGACGCGGCGCTGGACGAGGCAGAGGCCAAGCAGTAGGTGTCCCCGCGCGTGGAAGAGGGCGAGGACGTGGAGCTGCGACAGGGCGAGGACATTGAGCTGCGACAGGGGGAGGACGTGGAGCTGCAAGAGGGCGAGGACGCGGAGCTGCAAGAGGGCAAGGACGAGGACGTGGTATACAGTACGAAAATTGTAGTGGCTATGATGATGTTGACCAGCTGCAAACCAATACACCTGAGTTCAACATAACTGGCACTGGTTTGAACCTACCTGATAATTTCGCTCCAACATGTGAACTTGATTTCTTCAAACTATATTTCCCGGACGAAGTTGTGGATTCAATTGTCAAGTTTACAAATTTGTATGCGCACGAGCATATCGCTGAAAAAAAGACGTACCAGACGGATGGTGTGTGGAAGGAGACCAACCGTAATGAGTTTTACGGCCTCCCTGCATTTCTCTTCTTCCAGGAATTTCATCCTCTGCCTGCGACGAGGGACTACTGGCGCGTTACGTCGTTGTACAACGGAAACTATGCACGCTGCATGATTCGAACCTACCGGAGGTACTTAGCGCTGATGTGCTTCATCAAGATTGTGGACTTCAGGACAGAGGATATAAATGATCGACTTCGTCAGGTGCGATACCTTCACGACCATCTGCAGGCGGCCTGCAAGCGTTTGTTCATCCCTGGCAAGTGCGTTAGTGTTGACGAGCGCATGGTCAAGTGCAAGGGACGCGCTCCTTTTACGCAGTATATGCCCAAAAAGCCCGTCAAATGGGGCTTCAAGGTCTTCGCTGCCTGCGACGCCGAAAGCTCCATTGTTGTAAACTTTGAAGTTTACACAGGCCAGCAACCTGGAGGTGAAAATGGCCTGACTCATGCTGTGGTGATGCGGCTGGTCAGTGACGTGCACGCCGGAAGTGTGATCTACACGGACAATTTTTACACTTCCGAAACCCTGGCCACATCTCTTCGTACCAAGCAAATATCGTTGGTTGGCACCGTCCGCGCGAACCGCACTGGATTTCCAGCCGTATTGCGGACCGACATGAAACAGTTCGAGAAACATGCAGAGCGAGGTGCAACACGCTATGTTCGCAACGGAGATCACCTGTACCAGCAACGGAAGGACAAGCGGTGTGTGTCAATGTACAGCAACATACATCAGGGCCATGAGCATGACACAGTAACAAGAAATGTCAAGATTGATGGTGCACACCAGCAAATGGAAGTGCAGAGGCCAACGTGCATCAGAGACTACAACAGCAGCATGGGTGGAGTCGACACGTTCGATCAGCTGATCGAAACGCACCGTGTGCTTCGCAAAACGAAGAAATACTGGAAGAGTCTCTTCTTGGATATGGTCGACGTGTGCGCTGTCAATGCATACCGCCTCTTTCACTTGTGGCAGAGCCAGCATCCAGGGGTGATAAGTCGACGATGCAACTTGCAGCACTCGGATTTCCGCTGTAGCCTCATCCGGCAGCTGTCATCGATTGATGAGCATGCACCGCCACCAAAGCGCTCGTATCGCCCAGTGCCTGTTCCGCAGGATGTCCAGGTTTCAGTTGCTCAGCTTCACATACCTGGAGTGAGGAAAAGGAAGAACTGCAGAAACTGCACAGAAGTGGGTAACAAGCAGCACCAGTGTGTAACCTACTGCACTACGTGCGATGTTCACCTCCACATCACGAGCGACCACGACTGCTACGCCGCTTACCATGCACGCCACTTCCCGTGAAGGATATCTTATCTCAGTGCTGTGAGTTTCTTTCTTGTCTACTGTATATTTGTACATAAAAGTATGGTTTCATTTCCTTCCTATGGTGCGCTCTGTAAATAACGCGGCTATACACTTGATTATGACAATATGTGCCTAATATGGCAACATTGGTAACCATGGCAACATTCTAACATAGTTTTTTGGATTCAGCCGAACGATTCCATTCAGAAAAACACAACTTCTAATTACATATTCTCAAAAACTGTGGAGTTACAGGGGATTATTGTCGGAATGGAAAATTTGGTCATTTTCTCCGAAACCAGTGGACTCACAAAGGGTTAAAATGGATCTACACATTCTCTAGCTTGAAGTACATCAAGGCTAGTTAGGTGCTCAGTGACTTGATCTATATGTCCACACTGGAATGGCGTATTCAGTTACCCTTATAGAGCAGTGTCATATCATAGTGATGTAAATGACGGCCCGGATAGCAGAGTAGGTTAACTCCTTGCTGGAACTTCCTGAAAACGGTTACAAAATGACTATGAAACTTTAGGTCAGGGTTTAGCTCTACACCAAGGTAACCCTACAGAAGTGGGGTGACGAATAGGGATAGTGTCCATACGGGTTCGTGATGGTGTATGGAGTTGGTAGTTGAAGAGGGGGGAAGTCTTCTCCGGAGAGAACTCACCATGGACGCCCCTGGCCTATTGCTGGCAACTGTTGAGCTCCTGCTGGACGTTAGATCGATTCTCATCGAGGGATAATGCCTGGTGATGAGCATACAGAAGAGTTACAACATCTGCAAACAGAAAGGGGATACTATGGTCGAGACTCTCAGGGAGGGTGTTTATTATATAGTAGAAAGATTGGAGGGGCAAGATGTGATCCCTGCGAAACTCCACTGTTGACAGAACGAGTCGCGGAGACGGTCTGCTCTATTTTTAACTGTGGAGTGATCCATGCATCGTTCTAGACATTTGATGAGTGTTGGGTGATGGACCTTATCAAATGCTTTCCGGAAATCTAGGAAGATTTCCACCGGTGTCTGAGATATCAGCCCTCCGTGGACTCCGGAGGACGAGCTGGTCGGTTGTCGACCTTTGATGGATATATGCAAATTGACTCGCCACAATCAATTGGTGTCGATCGATATAAGTGTTCAGGCTAGATGCCAAGCAAAACTCGAAGAGGCGACTAATCGGGTGCAAGAGCGATATAGGTCGATAGGTAGTGGACAATGCCGTACTGCCTCTGCCTTTGTGCAAGGGGGTGACCGTAGCCTGCTTCCATTCAGTCGGAAAGGTGCATCACAACACCAGAGGAACAATAAGTACGGATTTTAAAGACGTTTTCATGTGACATGGAAGCATAGCTGCAGCTAATAGGATTTTCGGTCTCTGACCACTTTGTGGTGAGTCTAATCTACTCACCTCCCACCGCTTAGGATCTGCATCTGCGCCTTGATCCTACAGGGTGGCGGCATTCCTGCAGATGCAGGAGTCCAGCCGAGTCTCATGCGAGCCGTGTATTTTTTGCATAACTATCATCAGAAATCTTCGTCACACTGAGGGTTAGACTACAAAGCAAATATTTTTAAGGTACAATCAAGTGAATAATATTCAATAAGTATTGCCATCGCTACTGCCTCAGCAAGCAGCTAAACTTTGACCTCTCTGTATCTGATCCCCGTGCCTGTAATTATTTTTCTCTTATTGGCCACAGGCCATCGTGAGAATAAAAAAAATAAAAAAAATATTTCAATATTGGATCCAAAACTACAGTTGTGGCAAGCGAAATCCGACACTTGGCATAGGGGACAGCGCCACAAATGGACATCAATGATGTAATGAACTGCACCTAATTTGTACATTAGAGCCGTAAGCATCCCAAACAGGTCGAAAGGTCACAGCATCGATACACATAGTTCACAGACATGGTACACATGAGGAGTGTTGGTCTTCAGTGACATTGATTTGTGAGCACCTTTGAACCTTTCAGGTAAACTTTGACTGTGATGAGTACGAGTAACGTCATGAGACAGATAACGCTGCATGTAACACATGTACTGTACGTATGCAGGGCTGCAGGGGCTGCGCACTGCATGGTGTAGTCCCTTATGCCAAATGTCGGATTTCGATTGCCATAACTGTAACACGAGAAACACAGGTATCCTCGAATTAGCACTGAAGAAGGTGTGATTACAAAGGGAGTGGTGTTAGGGCATGTGTGGAGTGGAGAGCGGGTGCAAACGGCACATGAAAAGAAAAAATTGTGTGGACCTACTGGGCATCATTCAAATCAAGGAGCTGCCAAATTTGGAACTGGAAATCCCAGGAAACATTCCACGTGCTTCCTTTATGGAACCATAGAGCAGAACAGGTTCCTAAATGGCACCGGAATGCGAAGCGTGTTCCTGAGATTCTTCGGGTTGTGTTCTAGTTATATATAGAGCAGAACTTCACTAGTCTTATAAGTCAGTTCTTCTGTGTATATCACTATAATATTACTTGGCCTTTTCTCACTCTTTCTCTCTACCTCTCTCTCTCTCTCTCTCTCTCTCTCTCTCTCTCTCTCTCTCTCTCTCTCTCTCTCCTACTCTACAGCGCCAACTAACCATCCTGAAAGCCTTTCCCTCTTTCTTAATGATGTCTGAGTTAAATTGGTGTGGACACAAGTTAAAATGTTCAATGGCAAACCGCTCGGATATAGAATATCCTATGGAGATCAGGGAGCACCTGTTCGCATAAAGAACGTTTCATCTGGAACCCATGAAACGACGGTTTCAGGGCTAATATTTGATACCAGCTATACATTCTCAGTAGCTGCTGTTTCTTCAGGTGGAATAGGGCCAAGTATCAACCAAACAGACAGAACAACTCAACAAGGTAGGAGAGAGACATGAATTCGTAGCAGTCCAATTCTTCAATTCAGGTATACTGGTTTTCACTTTTCTCTGAAAAAAAAACCTTTGCATGCCAACGTCGAGCCATGTCATGTTACATGTACACTGAATGGTCAATGCTGTGTACATGCCCTAAATACAAGTATACAATAATCATTAATAATTATTATATATTGAGCTTTCTGGGTCCGAGTAACTTTTCCTTCCTTGGTCCTTTTGTTTTCCATGAATCTGGTGTGCGTTCGGTTATTCGGTTCCCTTGCATACAGACTTTGTGTGGAATATGTGTGGTTCTGCAAGGTCAGGTCTTTAAACTCACTTCGCGACCGCCAGTACAGAGAAAGGACTAGCCTTATTTGTTCTTACATCAGGTTTCATTGGTGCAGCATTGATGAGAGACAAGCTGCTGTTTACTTGTTAAACAAAGAAGCAGATACATAAACAAACACGGCAAAGTAGTGGTGAAGATCCCAGCGATCTCCGTCTTCGTGCTAAGATGTTTCTTTGTGTCGTCTGTTCGTCCTCATATCAGTTCCAGCTTTGCGATAGTTGTTGGGGGTAGTTAAAAGTGTGTTTGACGTGGTGTCCGTTCAAAATCAGTTGAGCCAAACTGCCTGGAATGGCGCTTCCGGTCATTGGTCATAGCACAGCCATGCGGATTTGGCTCAGTTTAAAACATATTGTAGACTCAATGTGACAACGTTTTCGAATCAAAGTACCTAGGCAGAAAGTGAATTTGACCCCGCTCCTGTTATTCGTGTGATCTCTGATAAGCATCTGCAGCCTCTACAAACTATGCCGCGACTATATTGCCAGGTGGAAATTGGGCCAAGTGCATTGCTACACCTATGGCATATGGAAAGGGTTATTGGATCCATTTTTACTCCTAGAACTACCAAAATGTAACTACCCTAGAATTACAGGAGGCATCATATGACTCCACCGGACCTAAACATACCTGCTTGGTATTATTGTTGGCAAAATGTGTGGAAACGGAAGTCTTTGGGGTAAAGGGTAACTTTTAAAAGGAAGAACCAATTACAGGTGCACTATCTTGGAGACAAACAGCTGGCATTGCGCGCAGCGAAAGGGCGACCTCTCGTCAATTTTCGGAAAAATTGACGTGCATTTGCTTGACATGCCCATCCTGCAAACTCTACATTTCAGTCCATCACCCCGGAAATGGCTGCTGCTTCGCCAACGTGCTGGATTTTCCTCAGCCAGGTTGGTCATTCTATGACTGCTGTGATAAATACATTTACGAGCGAAAGGAGAAAGTGGTGTCGCGACTCATAGCAAACAACTAATTTCCGTTCGCCGTCGTGTCCGGAGACCATCTTCGTGATCAAACCTCAAGTAGCAGAGTAGTTCCTGGAAAACATTTTTAGGAATTTCACTTGATTATTTGGTGTCCATTAGTATCCAGCCGAAGGGCCGTCGGCAAATTATTGCGGGTACAGAGGACGCCTCTTGCGGAACTTGTGAAACCAATGCCATGATATTGCCGTCACTCAAAGTAGAGTCCTCTCCAATTTTCTGTTTTCCTTCCTGCCTTGTGCATTTGATGGATCATATTCTGGTCAATAAATGCGAATAATGCATCTGCCCCATCTTCAAAATTGTGAATATCCCGGAAAAGCCCACAAACTTCCGAAGCAACAAATGGTTGCGTGCTTTCGGGCTTGCTCGGTGCAACACATTTTCCACTGTCTAGCCACTTTGCCAGAGAGCACAGTTTCATGAAGGAAGTCCTTCCCGAGGTTTGGAGGTTGATGTTCTGTTTTGGGAATGGCTCCATAGCTTTCTCATCACCGTGATCTGCTTACTCCCTCGAGTCGGATCCTGTATCAGACTCATTGAGAAGCCGGGGCAATTAGTATCCACTCCTCTTCATCTGGAGCATGTAACTATGTCTCTGTGTTCGGTCACTTTAAATTCTTCGCCCACAATGATCCAGTCACTCTCCTCGCATTCATCCCCAAACTCCTGCCCCGGATTTTTTTTCAAAATCAAATGAAATGCTTTCGGTAGCGACACTACGCCTGCCGAACATGGCTTGCGCCAGACCGACCTAAACTCAAAGGAAGTTCCAAGAATATCATACCTGCGCTGGCACTTCATATCGTTCAATGCTGCAGATGATATAGTGGATCACTTTCCACCACTTCGGGGGAACAAATTTGTCTGCTTCGACAGGATTCAGGATTACGATATTGACCATAATTACACGTGAAATATGCATATTAGCATTTCCATATGTACAAATTACCACCTCCATGGTCCCCCATCTACTTGCTCCCCAACGTATTCCTCTTTACGATATTCACGTGGGTTTCTGAGCCAAATTTGCCCTCATATTGATGACTGTAGTATGTGGAGTAAAATGATGCCGCGCGGAAATTCTAGGTAGCACCCCCTGGCATTTCGGAACAGTACTCAAATTTTGGAGATACAGCCCACTGCCACTAACACAATACAAAATAAATAAAAGTCACAAAATTTTGGGGGGATTCTAACCGCCCATATCACAGCAATCACATTTTGAAATTCGCAAATGCATCATATGATGCCTCTGGTAGTTCTAGGGTTAAAATCCCATTTCGAAAGTTAAGTTTGGATGAACTTTCAACTTCTTTGCGTTTCTGTCAAATTTAAAAACATGTTATTGCTGTTTTATCACGACTCTGCAGTTCCTCCTGCACCAACTGCCATTTCTACAAAGCCACTAGCCCCCGAGGTGACAATTCACCTAACACCTGTAAAAGGAAATTATCACTTGTCCAGCTTCTGCTGTTACTTCACCAGGCAATCGGTGTCTGACATACATACATATGTAAACTTGTCAAGAGTCAGGATCTGCAACGAGACCAGTCCTGTTGTCTTTTCACCGGTTGAAGAAGATGCAACCTATTCATATCACTGTGTTGCTAGAAACACTTAGAATGCTGCATCTGATAAGCATCTGCAGCCTCTACAAATGATGCACTATATTGCCAGGTGGAAATTGGGCCAAGTGTTTTGCTACACCTGTGCCATATGGAAAGGGTTATTGGATCCATTTTAAAAATCCCATTTCGAAAGTGAAGTTTGGATAAACTTTCAACTTCTTTACGTTTCTGTCAAATGTAAAAACATGTTATTGCTGTTTTATCACGACTCTGCAGTTCCTCCTGCGCCAACTATCATTTCTACAAAGCCACTAGCCACCGAAGTGACAATTCACCTAACGCGTGTAAAAGGAAATTATCACTTGTCCAACTTCTGCTGTTACTTCACAAGGCAATCGGTGTCTGACATACATATGTCAAGCTTGCCCAGTGTCATGATCTGCAACAAGACCAGTCCTGTTGTCTTTTCACCGGTTGAAGAAGATGCAACATATACATATCACTGTGTTGCTAGAAACACGTATAATGCATCGGATGGAAATGCTACAGAACAAACTGGGTTCAGTACAACAGCAACAGGTAGGGAGCCGGTATCAGAGATTTGTTTCAGAATATGCAGCGAGCAGACTAGCAAATCCTGCAGCTGTGTTCTGGGGAAATCAGGAGAGTTGAAGTACAATAATGCTGCAATATAGTGCTGCATACTGGCATGTTGCCAATACACTTGACATGCTCTGCTCCTCTCAGCATATTTTTAATCTTCTAAGTGATAATATACCGAAAGTCCTAACTGAGGTCCCCATTATTTCATCGCCCTGAGGCAAGCCGATTGAAGGCTTGTCCACATGGGTCCTGGAAGGTAGTTTTTCACTCAAGTTGTGCTGGCTCAAACATCAACTAAGGTTCCCTGAAAGACAGCACCTGCTTTTTGGGACTCCCAATATAATTATAGGTGCGTTGAGAGCTTTTTGCTCACTGGGTTTCACATTCAATCTAGCCATTCTTGCATGCGTGAACAGCTACTCGGGATGTGTATGATGGGACGGGGTGCATACTGGATTCTGTTGGTTATTGCATCATCACTGCATCACTTTAACTTTTTCTTAGCTGAGCTCATAGTATTCGGTAGTATTATGTGACGAGTGTACATCGCATATTGATGAGAATTAACAGGATGCGCATATGTTCAAAATCCCGTTCATTCTTACTCGATTCTCCCAATTGAAATAATGTAGAAACTTAGAAGTTGCGACTTCGGCGGTAATAGTCATGAAGATGGTTGCTCCAACGAGGAGCACACGCTTCTTGCCGAACTTGACACTTGACTGACTCACGACTGCCATCCGGAGCACACAAGGAGCATGTCGCACCTTCCGCTCGGCAAACCTGAAAGAAAGCACCATGGAGCAACCATCTTCATGACTATTACCGCCGAAGTCGCAACTTCTAAGTTTGTATTGTTGTCCCTCACGCGGACGTGCGACTAGTTGTTGGAGGTGACAGCGTTGTGAATAGCTATACTGGCTCTCAACGTCTGTTTAGCACAACTCCATGAGCGACTCTGACTCACGCTGCTACCTGGGGCTTCACGAGGTGTTTGTCGCGCTGGAAACAAAGCGTCTCTGTAAGTTTGTATCCCTGGTGATGGTTTGGCCTGGAGAGCAGTATAAAAGTGGTGCTTTTCAGGCACAATCTTCCTCAGCCTACTCAAGCTCAACTGATGAGGGGTGAATTCCCCGAAACACTGTGTATTGAGCAGGGAGTGGTGCTTTCTTTCAGGTTTGCCGAGCGGAAGGTGCGACGTGCTCCTGGTGTGCTCCGGATGGCAGTCGTGAGTCAGTCAAGTGTCAAGTTCGGCAAGAAGCGTGTGCTCCTCGTCGGAGCAACCATCTTCATGAAATAATGTAGGTCGACGAAAAAGCTCTCAGCTTGGATCAATACTCGTATTATTTTATGGTGCTCGATAGACGATAGACGATCATATCCACACGCACCCAAAGGCTTGTGCGCAGTGCGTGGGTACTTGGTTTTCGTTTTTTCTGCGCTTTTTCCCGCATGGTGCCATAACTATTTCAGTTCAAATCGAGCAATGGTCTCGTGGGAGTGTTGAAGAAACACTTGACATCGATACAACCAAGGAGGGTGTCACTCGATGGGTGTTTAAAAATTCATAGCCCATGAGAGGCACAGAGGCACCTCCCCCCACCCCCGGCCCTGTTTCAACCTCCATTCAGTGTGTGCATGTTTGTGGTGAATGGTCTAGGGCTCGCAGTTCAGTGCCTGTTGTGAAGTCAGAACCAAGTGCCTGTGTGCAAAGTCGAGTTGTTCTTGAGGCAAACTGTAGCTGATTGTAGCTGAATTGCTGTGTATCTCTGTGTATCTCTGTGTATCTCTGTGTATCTCTGTGTATCTCTGTGTATCTCTGTGTATCTCTGTGTATCTCTGTGTATCTCTGTGTATCTCTGTGTATCTCTGTGTATCTCTGTGTATCTCTGTGTATCTCTGTGTATCTCTGTGTATCTCTGTGTATCTCTGTGTATCTCTGTGTATCTCTGTGTATCTCTGTGTATCTCTGTGTATCTCTGTGTATCTCTGTGTATCTCTGTGTATCTCTGTGTATCTCTGTGTATCTCTGTGTATCTCTGTGTATCTCTGTGTATCTCTGTGTATCTCTGTGTATCTCTGTGTATCTCTGTGTATCTCTGTGTATCTCTCCAAAACAAACAAACCATCTACATGTACTGTGTAAGTACCGCCTCGAGAACAATGTCGACCGCGCACCCTCCCCCCCCCCTCCTCCCGGACTTCGAAACAGAGTATTGAATCCAGAATTTTAAAAAGAGGAAAGGACGTTGAGTCAGGTCACACACGCCCTTTTTGGATGGCGATGGTGGAAATCCCGCTTTGGCAAAAAGATTGAATTTTGCCATGCCAAAAAAATGCGAGTGGAATTTCTGCTTCTGTGGAGACACTTTCGAGGAACATGCATTGTGATCAATCCGATGTGCCACTATTAGTGTCATTTGGCATTCTCTCAGTGTGTTTTTTCCTTTGCCAACGCACTGCACATTTTGGAAATATTGCAAACTATAAACTGAATACTGCATGGTTCTGACTGGGTTGTTGGTGAGAAAATCCGTCTCTCAAACTTTTTGTCCCTGATCGCGGACCAGAAGCGACGACATTTCTCTCTCCAGTAAATGAACTGCAACTATAGGCATCCACACTGGGGTCGACGATGGAGAAGGCAACGGAACCATTATCACCATCTACACCCATACTGGGCCGCGGAAAATGTGTCCATATCTATGAGGGTTCTTAGAAGGGCACATTCAGCCCCATAAGGCAACCTGTCTGCCATCAAGATTTTGGATAGTTCTACAAGTAAATATCGCTTCGACTCGGAAAAATGACTACTTCCTCCGTATACAAAAACTTTGTGACTGTTTTGAAGGCTGCGCATAGCTCTGGAATTGTTCCGTTTGACTTGGAATAACACTCATGGCATTGTCTAACCTGTTTACAAGCTATAATAATTATACAAAGAAAAAAGCAACTCAGACAAATGAGATTGAGTTTATTCAGAGTCTTCGTCGCTCCTGTCATTGTCACCTGACAACGCTGACTCCGCATCGCCAAAAGTCGCTGCTTCGCTTGCATTTCGTTCAAATTCTTTTCAGCTACAATGATGATCCGACGCGGGACTTTGGCTAGCGTACTCTTCATTTCCAGAGCTGTGTACGAATCGGTGTCGACTATATTCAGTCGTTCCAACCCGCGACCTCCATTATGCCGTGAAACGAGTCGCTCAAGCACATCCACACGCTTCGCATTTTCTCGGCAGGAGAATCCTCCCAGCATTCGACAACGGCTTCGACGAGGTCCCTGCGATTCCCCTCCTAGGCCACAACGGAGACGTCTGACTGGAGTGGAGAGAGGCGAAGAAAGCTAGGTTGTCGACATTCCGATCCGGAGTCTGCGCTGGTTGCACGACGACTGAAATGTTTCATCTTTCCGTGCGAGCGGAACCGATTTATGTTCTCACGCTGCGTATGGGGCTGCGCACCGCAAGTACGAGCCTGGCCAGTTTCAGGGCAGCGAGTGCCGCGTGAGTCGTGACTCCGTGCTCCAGGCGCGAGCTCCACTTCGTCATGGTGTCAGTTTCGAGCAAGTAAGTGTTAGTTTTTTTGTTATTTGACTCATGAGTTCCTGTCGGCAACGTTCTCACACGCATGGCTTCCGTGGAGAATCTGTTCGAGATCAACCAAACCTACCTCAACATGAATGTGTGTTGTCGATGACAGCCTATGGCGCGGTTCGTTGAGCAGGTTCTTGCTCAAAAACACCGTTGAAAAAAGTCACGAAGTTTTGTATACGGAGGAAGTACTAAAATTGCAATTAGAACGCGAAGAGACCAAGCTAGTTGTAAATCTCTGATGAGGCCTTTTCGTACCATTACTTCTGAGATCAGTACATGGTAATAATGCGACTCGTGGAAAAGCGCAACAACGTCAATTTATATAGCATACTGGCGGAAAAATTGTGATGAAATGTACATAGGCTGAATCATGGTGTGCGTAGCACCAAAGAGTACAAGAACTATAACAGGGAAGCGGGAAGTCGAAATAGCACTAGTCTCCTAAAACAATCTCCTTCTATCTCCTTCTGTCTCTGAAAGGCATCATCAGATATACAACTGGCTTTGTCTCATCGTGAGCTAATATGTTTCTATCCAACTCAGTCTCTATGAAATTGCAATGTACATAATTATACTTCTATACTCAATGTACATAATTATACTTCTATACTCAATGTACACACACTTGAGAGGGACAAAAAGCGTTTCTTCTGTAACTCTGAGTTTCACGGTTTTAACCGATCATCAGACAGCAAAAAGTTGCTGTCTGATGATCGGTTAAAACCGTGAAACTCAGAGTTACAGAAGAAACGCTTTTCGTCCCTCTCAAGTGTGTGTACTAGGCTCTGCACCTTGGTGTATTCAGCACTCTCACGAGCAACCACAACTCCCTCCGAGTATACTCAATATACATAATTATACTTCACATGTAACATGTTAAGTACATCCACCAACGTGGAGTGTAGAGAAACAGAGAGATGCGGGACCCCTGCATCATGCGTTCCGCAAAAGCAAATATGATGGATTCCACCTCCACGAAAGCGGTACAAACTTGTCATGAGTGACCTCGGAATTAGAAGTTGTGAGTAACATTGACTGTGATCCTGTGACCAATTAGATCACTTTCTATAATATGCTAATTTTCTACTTCTGCTGATGGATTGTTGCCTGCAACTTCTATCCTAGTGTCTATTCTCTCTGTTGGAATTAAGAAAACTTCAAACCTCATCTTTGACCTATATGAACAATCGATGACCTATATAAGTAGAAAGGAAAAGGACATGTGGAAACGAGTTAAGAGTAACTCTTCACCACTGTAACTAGATACTATATACAGTCAGAAAGTGCAACAACTAGGCACAAAACTGACAGAGTACTGAGACATTCGACGTCCTGACACCTAGCTTCAACACATCTCCGTAGCGATAACCGACAGCCTTCCAACTTGGAAGGTTCAAGGTTATGGAAAGACCAAAGAGGGGAAGGCAAGCGCAACGAAAACGAGCACAAGCTACAGTCCCAACGGAACAAAGAATGTCGATTGCCACTGGACGATGACGAGACCAGTAGGCGATTTGACAAAGCGGTCTAACTACAATTCGAAGCAGCAAAGCAGCACACCACCCAACTTGGGTAGGTCAACAACTTTTTGGTCTTTCCATAACCTTGAACCTTCCAAGTTGGAAGGCTGTCGGTTAGCGCTACGGAGATGTGTTGAAGCTAGGTGTCAGGACGTCGAATGTCTCAGTACTCTGTCAGTTTTGTGCCTAGTTGTCGCACTTTCTGACTGTGTATAGTATCTAGTTACAGTGGTGGAGAGTTACTCTTAACTCGTTTCCATTATGTCCTTTTCCTTTCTACTTTTACTATTGGCTCAATACCCGAGTTTCAGATGACCTATACTATAGCCTTTTAGTGACATGTAAAGAGAAAGGACCAATGTTTAATGACACATGAACAACAGTCCACCAAGGTAACGAAAAAAATGATACAGTCAGATAGTGCGACAGCAAGGCACAACACTGACAGGGATGTTGAGACATGCGACGACCTGACACCTACCTCCAACACATCTACGAAGCGCAGACCAACAACCTTCCAACTTGGAAGGCTCAGGTGCGGGAGGTTCAGAGTTCTGATTGTATAATTATCTAGTTCCCTTGGTAGACTGTTAGTCATACTTCAAGTAATATGTAACATATTGGTCCTTTCTCTGTTCGTAACACTATTGAAAAAAAGAAGGACCAAAGGTTTACAGGTTATCCGTTGTTCGTGTCCAACCCTAACTTTCCACTTTAGTGACAGAACCGACTGGGAATACATTATACTCATATCAGTATTAAAAGAAGCAGAAATTCAAATTCTACGATCTCTACAATTATTATTATTTTTCTGTATGTGCAGCTCCCAGCGTAGCTCCTGAAGGTGTACACCCGGTTACCAGCAAAGCCACAAGTGTGCTAGTTGGATGGCAAGATGTGGATCCTTACGAGTTGAATGGAATATTGGTCACTTACAATGTGATATGTAGGAACAGTACAACACAGGTAGCATCCATCAACACGAGTGCAAGCAGCGCCACAGTGTCTGGTTTGATATTCAACACCGTGTACACTGTGTCCGTTGCTGCCATCTCAACAGGAGGTCATGGTGATTATTCAGATCCTAAAAATGTGACAACATTACAGGATGGTAAGGTCCAACTCTGAAATTCATGTAAACCCTCCAGACGCAAACATACATTGCACATCAGTTTTCGACAATGCAATGAATTGACATATTTTGGCTCTGGGTTTTCAGCGGCATGAAGCTGAGGGTTTTTGATGGGAATGTCGCTCAGTGACCAGACCCAGAAGTCTCTACGAGTGGCGACCGAATAGACATGTGGCTTCACGACGAGCCCAGCACAACTCAGGGGCCAACCAATATAGCTGGCTTGGTCCAAGTTCAACCCCACACGATCAACAGACAAAGACTGTTAGTTTCACATTGTGATAGTCATTCAAACCCGAGCTCTAAGTTTGAAATATTTTATTCTCACAATAGCCTGTGGCCAACGAGAGAAAAGAATTACAGACACGGGGTCGGATAAAGAGGAATCGAAGTTTAACTGCTTGCTGAAATACAGTCAACTTTGCCAATAACGACATTCGGCGGGGCATCAGAAAAGTGTCCTTATTCGCGAAGTGTCCGTATACCCGAAGTCCCATTTGAATGTATGTGAACCCATATTTTTGTATAGTATGACATGCATATCAGAATGAAGCTCTTTTCATGCTCTATGCCAATGTGTACTCTCTTTTCATATTACAATTGAAAGGAACTACAAAGTCAATTTTCTTTTAAAAGGGAAATAGATTGGAAAAATTAGCCTTTTGCAAGTTTTGGAGCCATCTACAGGGACATGTACATGACATGTATGATGATTACTGTACAGTCATGTAGACCTACAACTACATGACATTGTAGTTGTGCTGATCACTCCAACATGTGAGCCAGAGCACGCTAAAATATGACCACAGACCAAAAATTCGATTTTCAGTTTTTTGTTTAAAAATGATCTAGCACACCTAAGGCCAAGTAAAAATAATTGATTGTTGATCGTCAGCGCCCGCCCCGATTTTTCAGTCCGTCCCGGGATTTATTTTATTTTTTATTTTTGTGATCAACGGTAGAAAACTCGTGTGTTAAGCGAAATGCAAACTTTTTTTTAGCAGGTCGTGCGTACGCGAGCTCTCATGTACAACTTCAATGTGCTTTTACCGTAGCGACATCACGCAGTGCAGTGTGATTCCAGTGTACTTGTGTGAAATCTGGCAACTACAATACATCATTACATGGCACTGTAGTCTGTACAGTGTACCACCTGATATCTACGCCAGCCACTGTGTGTGTGTGTGTGTGTGTGTGTGTGTGTGTGTGTGTGTGTGTGTGTGTGTGTGTGTGTGCGTGTGTTTGTGTGTGTATGTGTGTGTGTGTGTACTCATGCACACGAGTGTATGTGTGTGTGTGTGTATGTGTGTGTGCGTGCCCGCCGCATGGCAGCAGGAAATGGTATCACAGAGTCATCTGCACATGTTCAAAGTGTTTGGAGTGTGCCCAGGCAGACTGGTAGCAGTCACAACCAACAATGGTAGTACACCCATAACCCCATAGATGTAACACATGCTAAGATTTCAAGATGTGCAGTCGATGCAGATATAAAAAAAAGTTATAAAATAAAAATAAAACCCTCCCGTCCGCCCCGATTTTTCGGAAAATTCTGACGATCAACAATATTTTTTTTTACTTGGCCTAATGTTCACTGTCTGAAAGTTTTGGATTGATCGGACATGTCTAAGTGTTGCTACAATGGTATTGTATGCAGCACTGTTGAAATGGCGAAATTCTATGTACAGCAATGGGATCATGAAAGTGTCATTTTGCACACAATTGATATGCCCCTTGGTTCATCCTTTCCGGGTCAATTCCTCTGTCCAGGGTCTTATAGCATGAACTGACAGGTACTCAGCCACATCCAAATTTTCTACAGGCAGCTGAGCTGGGTGTCCGAAATACCTCCTGTTTGCAGCACCACTGGAGAACCGCCAGCGAAAACACGGTCAACATCTGTAGCTGGCCGAAGAAGTTGGCACTCCATGTCCTCTCCATCACACTCCACCTGTACTTTCAGATATACAGTATACACTGCTGCACACAGTCTTCCTCAACATACTAGACGTCGCACTCATATTCCCCACACCAAAGCCCATCTGCACACGGTTTTCTCCGCTCACCAGAGAGTACTGCTTTCGCTGCATACTGCTCATGCCAGCGATGTTCCGCATAAGGGTACTCAAATTATCGACTTGAGCAAGTTGAGGGAGCAGCAGAGTCCTTTGATTGTTTTTGCACTTGCAACCAATACTGGCATTGTTCCGGATATGTGCAGCGATGTCCATTCTGGCCAAATCATCGGCCGACTCACCTCCCAAGTCAGTGTCGATGCCAATCGCTTGCCAGGTTGCCATCAGAGTAGAATTCCTCGTCACTGCAGATCGTGGGACTACCAGCATCAATTCTTTTTACGCTCGATGAAAGTGTCGCCCTTAAATGACTCGTCGCTGTTCACATCATCGTCTTCCTTCTGTTTCCGACCCGAATCCTCAAAATATTTTATTCTGCGCATGGAGTGCGATAATGTCGTCTTCTTCCGCTCCGCAGTACATTACTACTACCAGGCTCTTCTGTCGATACATCGATGACGATCAGTTTCAGGCGACTCAGCGCAACATGGAATACAAACTCAAACAAATAAACTTACTTGCAACAAAGAATTGCATCCGGAACAATCCAGTCGACCGAGGAGAACAACAACAGCGACTCGCGTGGCACTTCACTTCGTATTTTTGCCGCAGAATTCAAATCGCGATTATCTCGACTTTTACAAAAAAAGCTGTGGTCATGTTTTAGCGCGCTCGGGCTCATGTATTTAGAAACAAAACAAAAATAATAGGGGTACAACTTACTAGCCTGTTTGACCTTTTTTGGGTGCAATCCTGTCACTCGAGTTGAACCTTGGTTTGAAAGTTCTCGCCTGCTGGCGTGGTGACCAGGTGATTTGGGCACCCAGGAGCACGTGACCGCTTGTTCAACCATGTTCGATTGGGAATAAAGGAGGAACGCTGCATCGCAGCCTTTTCGGACCAAAACCAGTCGACTCAGCGTCCAAAAGACTACAACATATGGGCCAATCGCGGTCATCCGTGCTTTTATAAGAACGAAATGGCGCTTTTAGTGACATTTTGCATACAAATCCCCATCTAGTAGGGCGCAGTCACCCAGTTTCGGTGGAAGTGCGCGAGTTCGATTGGGATTCAAGTAGGAAGGGAGCGTCTCAGCTTCCTCGGACCACGACCATTCGACTCAGCACCCCGAAGACTACAACTGGTGAAATTTAAATTTTTGCCTTAACTTCCCCTTTAAAAAACCGCGTTTTCCGCGATTTTCCTGCGTTTTTCTGAACTTTTTTGTTGCACTACACGTACACACAGTGCACTGTTCGGTCAGCAACGTCTCATCGTACTCAAATATGACGAGTGCTTACACCAGAGACTTGTAACTGATTGATTTCACTACATACTCACTGAAAATTGCCTCATATCAACTGCAAATTTGCCGCATCATAAAATATTCACCGATTTTTACCGCATATTTACCGCAAATTCACCGCAAATTATGCTATATTATGCCGCGTTTTCCCCCCGCGTTTTTTGCGATTTTTCCGCGATTTTCCCCGGGGACAGCTGGCTGCATCTTCTTGCATGTGTGCCTTTATCCATCGCCACGCATGGCATGGGTTCTGGTACTTCTGCATGACAGGTACTTGAAATAGCTGTCAAAAGCCCAGAAAGTCGTTATTCAAGCAGTGAATATGACCTTGGGGCACTAAAAGCATGTCGTTATTCGCGAATTGTCGTTATTCAGATAGTCGTTTTATCCGAAGTTAAATGTATACAGTTAGATGGGACTTTGCTCTGGGCATGAAAATTCTGTCGTTATTCGCGAATTATCGTTATATCCGCAGTCGTTATTAGCGAAGGTGACTGTAGTACTAAATATTGCGACAGAGCTTTCGGCCATATTTTAAATTTATTGCATTCCCAACTCATCACAACCACGCGCTCTTCAGCCGAACCATACAGACACCAGCAAGGACACTTCCGTTGAGAGATATATTGTTCCACGCCTCTAGACAGCTGTTTCGCTCCCTGCCAGAGCTCATCAGAAGAGGATGATAATGACGATAATGGAGGAATGATCATTCTTATACACCAGAAATGGCGCAAGTGCGCGTTTTCCACATATAACAATGGCATATGCAAGCTGCTAAAATGGTAAAGTTTGAGACCAGCGATAAATATTCAAGGGACGCGCTCATTGGTGGAGGAACACACCACACAAACGACGAAAAATCTTACGTGGAATAATGATGCCACTGGAAAGTACATGTACGTTGTTTATTATTATGATGTTGCAATGTCCATGTATGCAGGCGAGGCGAGACCCACCGCCGAGATTCCCCAACGCGACAGGCTCGGTTGCCGTTCAGGATTCACACCGACCTGTCCGCCCGTCAACAGGATCGACAGCAGGAGGCCCCACTGATGCCGATGTCGATGCGCACCAGGAAACTTGTAGCCGTGAGTGTGATACGAGCAGGTCTAGTAGCAACCACTGACAAACGAGGGGCCAGCTGGGGCATTCACTCCAGTCAGGGCTGCTTGGTCGACGCTTTGTATCAGCAGCTCAGCTCAGTTTGATCAAACATAAATGTTGCAGATGTGTCTTGCTTTTCTCCTTCCTTCTTCACCGACTCGTCTTGTCATCTCTCCTTCTTTCTTCACCGACTCGTCGTGTCCACTCTGCTAGACCTGCTAGTATCACACTCACGACTACAAGTTTCCTGGTGCGCATCGACATCGGCATCAGTAGGGCCTCCCGCTGTTGATCCTGTTGAGTTTATCACATAGGCTGGGTACAATGGGGCTACAGATGTGCTGATTAATGAGAGCAGGTACATAAGGAAGAGACGACAAGAGGTAGAATGTTTGCTTTGAAATCCTTTCTGGGGTTGATTTGCCGGAGGCTGAGTGGGATGTTATTGAAGCGATCAAGAGAAGCATAGATGGGGAGTCTCTTAGCCGGTTTGTGCGTGTTGTGGGTAGCTCAAAAAGTCGAGGGAACCTGACCGTGCGAATGGGCTGTAGGTGCAGGAAGGTGTGGTGGTGCATATCTATGGTGCAGGCTATGTGCAAGAAGAATATGGAGAGGGTGCGGCGGCTGCGAAGTGATGGCCATTTGAGCCGGTGCAGCAGCACAGAGTGGGTTCTGTGTTCAAAGAGGGGAGTTGTAAACAGAGGCGAGTGGCGCATCGTTGGATGCACTCAAGCCGGTCGTTGAGGGTTGTGGGGAGGGGTGAGAGGACAGTGCAAGCATACTCAAGAATAGGACGGATGTAAGATAGATAGATGGAGGAGAGAGCAGAAGTGTTTAAGGAATTGCGTAGTCACAGGAGAAGGAACATCCTCCTGGTCGCTCTAGTGATGACATAGTCAACATGTGAGTTCCAGCATAGATTCTGCTGTATGATGAGGCCAAGGTGGCGATGCCTGGAGGCCACAGTGAGGTTGGTATCGTTAAGTGCGATTGATGGTGGTCTGGGAGGTGGACAGTTGGTGTGGTGAAAGTGGATGCCAGTGGTCTTACTTTCATTGACCAGGAGACGCCAATCCTTCAGCCACTGTGTGGCGGTTGTCACAGCTGACAGGACGTGCTCTTCTGCGGCGAGAAATTTCTCATGAGCGGCAATGATGGGAGTGTCGTCGGCAACCTGGCTGCACTCAGTGTTGGCATTTATGCAGGCGATTGGCAGATCGACTGTGTAGGCTGTGAACAAAAGCGGCCCCAAGACAGAGCCTTGGGGGACCCCCGCTGGAATGTTCAGCCAGGTTGACTTGCCGCTCTCCACTTCCACACATTGTCGTCTGTTGGGGAGATAAGAGGCAAGCCACTGGAGGCATTTGCCATCGAGTCCAAGGTGGGCCAATTTTGCAAGCAGTCCTTGGTTCCACACCCAGTCAAACACCTTAGATAGGTCGAAGAAGTAAGCAATTACTGTTTGCCCACGTCTCTTTTCTCGATGATAGTTAAAACTAAGATTGATAGCTAAGACTGAGTCACGACTGAACTAAAAGAGAGTGAGAGCTTCTTTTATATCGCTTTATACAGATAATGGTGTGATTATTGGATAGAATGGTACGATCAATTTCCAGGAAATAGTAGAACAGGTAAAAGAGGAATATGTGCAGCCAGTCAGCAGAAAGCAGAATACACGTATGAGAATCATTCAAGGAGAGAGAAAGAAAGACATGGAGAGAAAAATGGCCAAGAAGGGACGTGTGGAGCCCGCTCATCCACGTCAGCATACATTGGGTGTGTATGAGGGTCTCGTTGGGGAGCCCGCTCACCCAACATTCCATTGCTCAGTGGCTTCTTATGGGTAAGTCTTGCATGCACGATACTTCGTACCCTGACCTGGTGCGGGGACAGTTTTGGCTCTTGGGCCCAATTTGGCTCTTCATTCTTTGCATGTAGCTCTTGCTAGTCTTGGCTCTTTGCACGAAGCTCCGGAGCCTCATGGAAACCTGTAGAACGTCATGGTGATGTAGTTTTGCACAAAGCCTGTAGTCACATTTCCAGGAAGTGAAGCACTTCCAGGCAACGTACAACGCGAGAACCTACCTGACCAGGTTCCGGCATTGGGTCACATGATGTGTCATGGCCAAGAGGCATGCCACATTCGTGGGAAAGCGTGTGCCCCTCAACCTCTGTGACAAGCACGTAGGACAAGACACTGGTCTAACCATACTGTACCAAAATTGCATGACAGCTCGAAACAGATCTGCTCACTCGTAAGACACTGCTGTCAGAGGACTATCAGGCAACAGTCGTCACGTCCAGGGACGTGACAGTAAAAACATCATGCACAATGTTTTTCATTATTTCACCTCCTGAAACAATTTTGTAGAATTTCCTTTGTCTGAGGTTCTGAGTAGTCTGTACCTGCAATTTTGTTTTTCTTCAGTACCGGGAGCTCCGACCATCATATCTAGATTACTAGCTCCAACAAAAATTACTGTGGTATTTGACGCACTGACTGGTCACTTCACAATTCAGAGTTATTGCTGTCTGTACAAGCGTCAAACAGTATCAGGTTTTCCGTCGCCAACAAATCCAACAATAACTTGCAATACAAGCACAACCATCGTACTCAACAACCTGGAGGAAGATTCAACGTACATCATTGTGGGCTATGCAAACAACGCCGCCATGGCCAGGAGCCCTAATACCCCTCAACTTTTCTTCAACACCACAACTGCAGGTCAGTCATGCGTGATAACATCTGAAAAGTAGATACATGTCCTGTTTTACTGTATTTAGCTACGGGAGTAGTGGCTGCAACGTTGAACTGTTGCTGGTGGTGACGGTTGTGGTGACGGTTGTGGCGGAGGTGGTGGTGCTGCTGCTGCTCGTTAACCTATATATTTTTGACTGTTCCCCATACTGCCATACATCACTATTTTCCCCGGTGGTGTCTGTGAGCTGTTGGGATGTCATTCTGATCATTTCCCCTCAAAGCAGGACAGAGTTTACTCAGTTAGTTTCCTTGCTCATGTCCACGGTCACCTAAGTGGTCGGTGAAACCAGACTTTGCATGCAGGATATTTTACTCAAAATGTGGATGATACTAATTTTCATCTTGGGCCTCCACTGAAATGACCACAAGTAGAATATTCCTGCATTTTGAGCACGTATTTTTGAAGTGAGAAACCGAATATAGAAAAGCCAAATGTAACTATCATTGCCGCAAGCTGTTGGCTATTTTTTTCTGGCTTTTTAACGTGATGTATTTTTGCATCTGACACAGGCCCATCTGAGCCACCCGCATCTGTGAGCATCACGGATGTCAACAGAACATCACTCTCAGTGGTATGGAATGAAGTACCCTTGCTTGGTCGCAACGGTCCAATCACACACTATCTGGTCAAGTACAACAGCCAGGAACAACGCGTTGAAGGTAATCAGTCCTCTGCTAAGCTGGAAAACCTTCGCGCCAACGCAGACTACAACATCAGTGTATCTGCTATAGGTCACGGAGGTCAAAGTGGACCTTTCAGCAGTGAGGAGATTGTCAAAACACTCGAAGCTGGTAAGAACAGTAGCTCTTGGTAAATGATAGAATTAGTTCTTAGACACCTAGCAACACACACACTCATCATCCTGCTGGGCATGTAACACACTTCCATGAACAATAAACACTGACTACACAAAATGTCATCATCCAAACTCACATGTAACTGCCTCTCTGTTGTTTCCTGTCTCAATGCAATCATCTGTCAGCTAAGTTATAAGTGAAACACTAGTTGCTGTGTTATTACCTTCTCCCCTGGTCTCGCCACACAACAACGCAAACGACTTGATGGTGTTTCTGACTTCTTACTCAAACGGAAAGGGCACAGGAGGAGAAAGGTGAACAAATGTGAAACGGAAAAAAACGAAGGAAAACGACACGAAGAAACAACAAAGAACAAGCAGTGATAAAGCAACGACAAATCGGAACGACCAATCAGGGACCAATACGTACATAACACATGACCAAGACAAAGACAACCAGACCACGGGCGAATCACTCATCACTCTCATTCCTAGACCAAACTAGCACTGCGCATGCACAACATTCACTTGGCAGTCACTCTCACACAGACGGAAGCAGATTCTTGCACTCTGGCAATGCGTACTCTTGCATGCACCACATACCAAAAGCGTCACACATCACACCATACCCATACGTACACTTACACCATAAGACAGTGGACTCAACAAGACAACAAACAAATACAACGTGCGCAAATAAGACACGAACGGAATTTTGCAACATAAGGATCTGCCTGCCATACAGGTTCCCTCGTCCCATTACTTTCCCCATGCACTGTGCTTTCACACATGAACATGTATGCACTGTGGATTGCACGCACATACGTAGTCACTAAAGTCTACTGCACTATAGTAGTTTTCCCGTACATTCCTGCGGGCAGTTGCACACAAACAGCAATAGACCTGCAGTACATAACCATGCTATACTGCATGTGTGGAGTTATGCTTACCATGCTATACTGCATGTGTGGAGTTATGCTTACCTACGCCACTTTAATGGCCCTAACCCAGCTGCCCGTCGTCAGTTTCAAACCAGATAACCCTGTTGTGTATGATGGTAGTGATTGGGTTGTAGTAAGAGAAAGAATACCACTATCAACTGTGGTGCAATATCAATCTACCATGACTCAGTTCTTCTTGTGCTTCTGCGTATTGCACTTTAGTACCCAACAAACCAACCGTCAAATTCACTTCAACATCAACCAGTGTGAGGGCAGTGGTGACATCCGAATCACCGTACTGGAATGTTCTTCAGTACTGCATTACAATCCAAGCCACCAAGAGAGTGGACGGCAAACCAATACCTGATGACCTGCGTCAACGAGTGAAACACAATTGCACAGATCATGGTGTATCTGATTTCGACAATCTTGAGGAATATATAGTCTACAACATCTGGACCTGGGTTCAAAATGGAAGGGGAGAGAACAGTAGCACTCAAATGGACGGTTTTGCCACTAAAGAGGGAGGTAAGATCCTTGGTTTCTAGTGACCTGCAGAAGCTGTACTCTATCTATTCTTATCTTTGGTGCATGTAGTGTCCTATCCTGTATCACGTTATCCTTTCACCCATTCACGACATAGTCCTTTCCCTTTCTGTCGCCATGTATAGACGGTACGTGACCTCGCACTACCCCGTGCCATGCACAATACCATGCTGTGTTTGGCTGTTGGTTCATGACACAAAATGTAATGCGGCCAGGAACCCGAGACCAGTGATCGGGGGAGCCTACAACACCTCGCCTGCACTGCTGCTAGCTTAGCAACCCCTGCAGGTAGCCGTTCGTCATTATCCTTTCTTCTCCTTCTTAATGCCTTTTCCCTGTCTCTGTCTGATTGCAGGGATTGTCATTCGTAAGAAAAAATAATAAATAAAAGCTAGGTGGATCAAGTAATTTTGTCATCTGGGATCGAATTCCAACCTTTTGAAGTTCACTTTCACTTTCCTTAATTCAGAAATTTGCTCTAACGGAGTCTTACCTTTCTATTTTAGAAAATCATGGTAGAAAAGGCAATGCAATACATATGTAAAGCGAAAAGCTGCAGTGTACTTACTAGAAATGCATCCTTGCTGGGTTTTTTTCTCATCTAAATGTCCAGCTAATAACTGCAGAGGTGATTTCTTCTCTCGTCGATTTGTTCCTGCTTTTATACCTCGATATTTAGGTGCTTATTTCCCTTTTCCCATGCTTCATCTTCCCCTCTCCTCTCCCCCATTTCCCCATTTTTCTTGCTATATTTATGTAGGAGACTTCCGTGATAAGCATCCATTTGCTTTTGGAGAAATATTTTAAATAAATACAATACAATACATGTAGCAATTTCACCTGCTATTCTGTCAAGCAATGTACTTATCAAGTGGTTGTGTTTAATCATCCTCTGACTTGTTGTTCTAGTTCCAAGTCGTGCTCCGTCGAACCTGGCTGCTACCGGCGAGACCAGCACATCTGCTCAGCTTCAATGGTCTCCAATTCCACTACTAGACCAGAATGGAATAATCCGATCATACCATGTCAACGTCACAGCTATCTATCCCGTCAGTGAAGTCTCAAACCAAACATTCCTTGCACCTGCTCTTAGTGGAACATTTGTCGGGTTGAAACCATACACGATGTATGAAGTGGGCATTGCCGCTGCTACTAATATTGGCAGGGGAGATATCTCTAATTTCACATCATTCCAGACCCAGCAAGCAGGTGAGGTGGATTTGAACACTGTGTTCTTTATCACAGGGCCCATACCTACGGAAGAATGGGAAACAAAACAAAGACAAAACAACAACAACAAAAACAGCAATGGGGCTGTAGGCGCTACTTGAGCTGCGCTGGTGAGGTGCGGTGGACTCCCCGACCAAGGGTATCGGGATCGCTGCACAGAACATACTAAGCTAGCTGTGGCAGCTGTCTGGTGATTGCTAAAACTGGAAACTCTGAGTAACAAAAAACACAGAGCCTCCGAGTACCAACAAGAACACTGCATTGGTTTGCCCTTCTCTATAACTGAACATTGTAAGATGCGTAGGCCTAGGACATGGAGGGCTGCTAACTTCCCTAGTTCAGACATCAGCTCGCGCAGAGCAGTACGATACCTTCAGCATAGCCTTGCTTTCAAATAATTGACCGTTTGAAGAGAGTAGGCCAAGCCTACTCTTCCGCACCTTGGAACACACCACCCACCCACATACGCACATCCTAGTGGTAGCTGATGAGTGGATCAGACCCACCACAACATGGCCAAAGACGTAAAAACCCCACTGAGTGCTGTGTCCATGTTACCCTTGCGCCAGGTCAGACTGAGCTTCCAATCACCCGTGGGTCACTGCCAAGTTGGAAACGTTTGACCCTTCTTAGCACGATCTGAACTTTCTCCACTTTGTTTTTCAGTTATCGCCTCAGACTATCCGACTACGTCTGTCTCCCTTGTTAGTTTTACGAATACAACTTTGATACAATGTAGGACATATTTTAACATCTTTCCAATATTGTATAAAACTTTGCGTGAATACTTCAACGTAATCAAAGCATCTTAGTTGGTAAGTTTTGTTAATTCCAAGCAATACATGGCTGGGGCAGTCAATGACCACTTTGCGTGGAGATTTCAGGGGTTTCAGCTTACCACAAACTTGCCCTAGAGCCACTACTGTCCTGAGGATGCCTTTTAACCCTCTCTTGGCCGCTCATACAAGCATCAACCCGATGGGCTCGGTGGGGTAGGCATTTTCAAATTATCGTAACCTAGGAATCTTCAATTGGGTTTGAGGGCAAGATGGTTGGGAATCACTTTGCCAAATCTCATTCCAAAAACCCAGTAATGACAATGATGCTCTATGATGATGGTACTGTTATTGTTGCTCACTATCATTGTCTTTACTGTTGATACATCATCTGCAGCACCAAGTATTGGACCAACCGTGACCAACACATCCTACTTGAGCAGCACTGCTCTGCAGCTGGCCTGGCGACGGCTCACGCAGCAAGATCTAAACGGTGTGTTGGTACGCTATGACATCATGATTGTCAGCCCTGCAAACTACTCACAGGTGTTCAATGTGACAAGCAACGAGACCAGTCTGACTATCACCCAGCTTGAGATCAACACTGTGTACAACCTGTCTGTGAGGGCTGTGACAGAGGCTGCACCTGGTCCATTTGGTAGCCCCGTACCACAACGGACAGATGAATCTAGTAAGCTATGCACACACACACACACACACACACACACACACACACACACACACACACATACACAAACACACACACAAACACACACACACACATAGTCTCAGGTGACTTTTCCCAAACTTGACGAGCGGGGTATTATTTTGCCACGCCACATAGTCTCAGGTGACTTTTCCCAAACTTGACGAGCGGGGTATTATTTTGCCACGTCACAAGATGGGCCTTCCCCGAAAGTTTGAATGATTTGATTATATTCTTTTTCAGTGATTGGTGTTGCCTGGAGACAGAGTGTGGTGAGTAAGTATGGATATAGTGGAGTCTGTGGATATTGAGAAACGTCACGAGTGCTATAAAACTTCAGTACAGCCCCCTTTCAAAATGAACGCTCTACCCTTCAGAGTGCGAATGCCACCTTTTTTTAGCAATAATATGAGTACACATGATGTAGGTGCACTCACATAATCATTAATTACCTCTGAAACCCATACTTATGGCAGGTTCCAGTTGCCAGTAAATAAATACGTGGAATGGAAGTTGGTCAATTGCTTACTAGTGCTGGTGTCGATGAAACTTGCGGCCACAATGGCGGTGATATCACAAACATTTGGGTCCGATGATCCCCCCCCCCCTCCCCCTTCACTTTGGTTCTGGCTATAACCTTGATGCAGGTAGTAAAGAGTACTGCACTATAGTAGTTTTCCCGTACATTCCTGCATGCAGTTGCACACAAATGGCCACAGATCTGCAGTACATAACCATGCTATACTGCATGTGTGGAGTTATGCTTATCTACGCCACTTTCAATGGTCCTAGCCCAGCTGCCCGTGTTCAATTTCAAGCCAGCTATAACCCTAGAGCAACCCTGTATTGAATATAGTTGCATAACACACTTCGTCGCTATGGTGTGGTGAATGTGGGCCAAGAGCGCAGTGTTGAGAGGTGGAGAGTTTCAAATGACTTTATCCTGCTGGAAGAACATAGATGTTAGTGTTGACCTGTGTGATCAGTTACACTTTATTTTTGGTACTAAATTCAGAGATCCCTATTTCAAACGATTGTTTTTGAGTGCATTAGCTTTCGTATTCGATGGTAATAATTACATTAAACCGATGATTACTTGTATATCTAAGATTGACGAGTGTGTGAATGCGTGTGTGTGTGTGTGTGTCTGTGTCTGTGTATGTGTGTGTGCGCGTGCGTGCATGCGGTCGTGTGTTGAAGCACTGGATCACATTTAGGTGGCAGTTTCAAGGTTCAAGGTGTGTGTGTGTGTGTATGTATGTGAATGGCAGCTCAATAACTTTAGGGCTATTGTCACATCTTTATTAACCTCATTCATTTGACAGCCTTCCAGAAACTCAGAGTACAAGTACTCACATGTTTTGATAGTTCAATTGGTCCGGTATTTCTTGTGCTCACAGTTCCTGGACAACCCACTGCCAACTTTTCTTCCACATCAGCAACAATCACTGGGCAAGTCTGGGTGGAACAAGGAAACTTCAGGGTATCGCGATTCTGCATTCAAGCCACGCTGACTCTTTTTGGTACATCCAGCCAAGGTGAAACCAGAACAACGTGCAGCAAAATGCCAAGAATAACATTGCTTGGTCTGCAAGATGACACTGCATTCAGCCTGGTAGTTTTTGTCAACAACACCAATGGACGAAGAAGTCCACTGTCTCGTTCCTATACAGTCAGGACATTGGAAACTGGTAAGACTTGGGGTTTTATATTCTTACGGCGGTCCTGAAGATCTTGCCAGACCATGTACAGTGTAACTAGTATTGTGGGTGGTAGATAGGCATTTTCCAAACAGCGTGTTGTTGACCAAACGCAGCCACTGCCTTATAGGCGATTCGAAACGACAGGCACTTGCGCATTTTACTTGTGATTCACGAGAAAAACGTGTCTGTGTGGATTCACACATCTGCGCTCGACAACAGGCACGTTTGCATTTTTGAATGATTCACCCACCAGTTGCCATGAGTATTTCAAATTGTCAAAACACACATACAATAATTATCATGGTGAAAAGAGCTGCGTAAAAAATCAAGTCTTGTTTCGCGCTTTCTGGTGTAAATGTGCTCGAGCACGCCACAACTATCGTAAAAGTGGGCCCCCAGCTCGTTTGCACTTTTCAGCCACTTTCTGTCACTTTTCTCGTTCACTGGGGAAATACCATAGCAACGGTCCCATGCACGTGGATTTGCCTGTCGTGTGAATTGCCCACTAGGAATAGGAAAAGAGCTTGAACGGCAGATAGTTTCAATTGGCATTTCACAAGCAAACAATGAATGAAACTTTAAGGACTACCAGCGCTATCTGGATGATAGCGTGGCAGCTGAGGTTAGAGGTGGAAGAACTTGATGATAGCGCTGGCAGCTGAGGTTAGAGGTGGAAGAAGTTTTTACAAGTAACACAGTTCATTTCTTGCAATCTTCATCCTTTTGTCCTGCTCTTTCTCTGTTTTGTGGTAGATCAGCAACAACAACAAGGAACCAGCGCTACCACAACCATAACAATTGGAATCCTATCATCGTTTCTTGTTCTCACTGTCCTAGCTCTCATCGTCATTATTGCATGGAAGCGCCGTAACAAAGCCAGGTATATACCCAGGGAATCAGATTCACCGAGAATTCCACTCGCTTCCATGGACAAACAGAACACCGCAGAAATCATGAAGGGAAGTGAACCAACTCCTCAAGTTGAAAAGGCTCTACTCACCAGCAATGACGCGTACGGGGCAGTGATACTGCCATGTTCCTCGAATCCCGTGAAAATGGATGATGGGGCATATGAAACAGTTGGGCTGGTGGAAGAAAGTGACCCGGTTTATGCTGATGTTTCAGAAATGCCGTCAAACCAACCCAAAGCTGTCGTGACCGATGAGCCTCTGGGAGATGATATAGTGTATGAGACCACTCTCGGCGATTGTATCGTTTCTGAAGACTGCTAGCCTGAATTGATAACATCCAGCTAAGCGTTGCGCACATGCACTGTAGCAGATTGCGGATACAACGCACCACTGATAACGTGCACCAACATACTATGACGACACTGCGGCCACACACCATACCCCCAACACTCTCTACGAAATAATAATTATAATTCCTCAATTCCTATTGTACTTTGAATAAATTAAATTTCATGTTTTTTTTGGCATAGCCAAGAGGCCAGTAATTTATAGAGTGATATGAGAATATGCAGCAAGTTGCTCTACTGCTACGAACCATTTTTCTGTCGTCACCAGCAACAGTTCAGGTAAATGTTCTTACTTTAGGTTTGATCTTCACAAACGCTGGCACGTTGTATTGCATTCATCAAACCTCTGCTCCTGTGGCTTTAGCCCTTTTGCAAATCGCCTCCATGGGAATACTTCCCATTTAAAACTTTAGCTTTTGAATATTTTAGCACTTTCAATGCATTCAGCTGCACTGAGTGCTGGGTTCTAGGCCAAGTGGATAAAATCCTTCGACAAAGTGAGTTGGATGAATGCGCCTAAAGTGATACGCAAGGCTTTCTTTTCTATCGTTACCTTTACCTATGGAACAGGCATTTCTCCTTTTCACATGCTTCAAGTATTGAATTCCTGCACATGCGATGATAGGGCGTATTGCTTTTTAAAAGTCAATGTAAGGCTGTTTTTATACAGGTAGAACCACCCTACTTCATAAGCATTCACCAAGTACAGTACTGTAGGATATCGGCATTCGGTTTGTTGCAATTAGTCCTCGCGAGGCTTCCCTTTCAATACTTATCCTTGATAAAAATTGAGCCTCCCAAGTTGGGTGGTTGTTGTTTTGCGTTGTCGGATTGTGGTTAGACCGTATAGTCGAATGGTCTTACGGTCCTGTTATCGTACCAAGCCAGCCTTCCACCTTGCCCTGGAATGTAGCTTGTGTTCGGCTTGGTGGCGCTTACCTTCCCTTTTTTTGGAACTATCACTAATATCAATGAACCTTCCAAGTTGGTAGGCCGTTGTTTAGCGCTATCGAGCAATGCTCAAGCTCACTTCCTTGCCGTGGAATGTTTCGGTACTCCTTGTCAGTCTGGAGCTACCTTATGCACGTCTGACTGTTCAAAACCTGGTATAGTTGGTGGACTCTAACGCATAACTTGTGCCCCAGCTTTGTAATCAATGTTACACACAAAAGGCACAACGGAGGTTTACAGAATTGTCGCAACTCAGAACATTACAAAATGTTTACTTTCATTTAGGAAGTATTTGTGTTCTGAGTTACGGGCAGTGCCTACTTGCGGGCAGTGCCTAGTTACGGGCAGTGCCTAGTTACGGGGGGGGGGCAGTGCTCAGTCCTAACTTGCCCGGATCCTCCCGGATCTGGGGAGTTTTACTGCAGTACAGTTGTGGCCAAAGATATCATAATATCCAACACACGTGCCGAAAGCAGCGCCAAGGCTAATGCGGCCCCTGCGACCCTCAGATAAGTTTTGGGAACATGCATGATGTAATTGACATGGAAACGCGCCCCTACTTTTGACTCCAGGGTCGGATTCCTTTGGCCACGACTCTACATGGTTGTGCTACCAGTGACAGTACTACAGTACAGTTCTGGCTGGAGAAATCCGGGTTCAAGTATAAAGTAGCGCTGCCCTCGGGTGCGTAGAGTGTTGTGTGTGGTGCTAGGGCCGCGTAACCCCCAGGCTGTCCCGGCGCTAATAGTATGATGCGGCCTTATTTATCTAGCCAGGAATGGTATACCGTACCCGCGCTATTTATAGAGCCCTCTCTTGAATAGTGCCCTATCTCGAATAGAGCCCCTGTCTCTAAGAGCCACTGAAAAAATAGAGCCCTCTCTTGAATAGTGCCCCCCCCCGGGCTTGTAACGAAGCGCATGACTGTGCTCTTTTCGTAATGTTCTTGTCCATGTCATTGTACTGGTGGTTTCAGGATGAAAATCGCTTAAAACTATTCTCTTATTCATATTCTCGCTCAAATCAGTCTGCACCACGTACCACTGTGTATCATTGACACGAAAGAGAAAAAGAGAATAGAATTATTATGAAGAGGGAGAGAATGCGGCAAGTTGAACATGTATCCTTTGTTCCGGGTGTGATGTCCGTGATCGGATGAAAAGGTAAGGTAGCAACAACCCTCGTACGAATCGCTAACGCGGCTAGCGCACCGCTAGGGGGTCGGATTTCAGTTGCCAGCACTGTACATGTACGTACTGCTGTACGAAATCCAGTCCCGTCACTCAAGTACGCGCCGGGCGTTGCCCATCCCTAGACCTGCGGACACTGGGCTGCGCAATGATGCAAGGCGCAAGCTTGAGTGGCGTGACTGGATTCCATTGACCAGCCTGCTCTATTACTATTAGTGCAGTGCATTATCACTCTCTTAGTATTGACTCAGTCCCTCCCATTGATTTTCGCTATACAGTTCCTAAGCAGTTAAATATTCCTGCATATTTTCACTCCTTAGGGCTTTATTGACTGCCTATATTTGACTGCTTGGGGGTTGCGCAGTTGAACGGTGCCTAGTGCAGCATGGTCACTGCATGAGTAGGTGATGGTGCAACTGCAATCATAAAACCGGGATTCATGAGGTTATCGTTCTGGAATTTAAAACACGGACTGTTTGTCGTGATAAATCTAATATTGACTTCGTACTTGGTCAGTATAGAAAATAAAAAAACTCATAAAAGACCTCGGCTTCGGCTCGGTCTTTTACTCGGCTTTTAATTCCTACCGATATATTGACCTCGTACTCAGTCAATATCTAATATTGACTGACTACGAGGTCAATATAGGAAATAAAAGCCGAGTAAAAGACCGAGGCGAAGCCGAGTTCTTTTACGAGGTTTTTATTTCCTATACTGGCCAAGTATGAAGTCAATATTAGATTTATCACGACAAACAGTCCGTATTTCAAATTCCAGAACGATAACCTCATGAATCCCGGTTTTATGATTGCACAACCGTTGCACCACCACCTACTCATGCAGTGACAATGCTGCACTAGGCACCGTTCAACTGCGCAAACCCTAAGCAGTCAAATATAAGCAGTCAATGTAGCCCTAAGGAGTGAAATATGCAGGAATATTTGACAGCTTAGGTATGGCAAAAATCAATGTGAGTCAATACTAAGGGAGTGATAATAGGTAGATCTACTTATCAGTTGTCTCAGCTTAGTACCTCAGAACTACGAAGTGTTGTTCAATGAAATCCAGTCATGTCACTCAAGTTTGCGCCTTGCACTGTTTCGCAGGCCAGTGTTCGCAGGTCTACGGCTGCGGAATGCCCGGCGCGTACCCGAGTGACACGACTGGATTTCATTGAGCAGTACATAATGGATTGCGATTGTACAATGTACTGTCTGTAGCTAGCAACGTACATCTACCAAGGCTCAAAAGTCAAAGCAGGGAGTGGTGGAGTCTACAATGTATTTTGCTACTCAGTGGCTCAAACCGCGGTAAATCTAAACTACATCCCATGCATGGTGTACACTCTACAGTTATGCAAAGGCGGAAGTTAGTAGTAGTATGGAGTCTGGTTCGCTGTCCCTTGTTAGCGCACTGCCAATGTTGACTGCTACCAGCAAGCGATACAGTAGACTGTGGAAGGCGGCTGGCTGTTACCCATTCGTTCGTCCGGATTTGATCCGGGTCAAACGTGGTTGGCGGGCTTGGATCCGAAATGGTGTGATTTATAAACTCTCTGCTACAAAGCTTGCACTTTCGAAGAATGATCTTTCCTTTCGCATCCTTTCGTGTAGGAAGCAGACAATGCATGATGTGGAGGTAATAATTATTTGGCAAGCGCCATGCACACGTTCAGTGTGCCATACGAGGGTGGCTGTTCGCACGTCTGTTCGACCCTGTCTATTGGATCCGGTGCGCAAGCTGTGTGTATGCGTGTGTGTGGAGTTTACAAGTCAGCCTTGCACCCCAACACGAGCGGAATGGCGCGCTGCTGGAGAACAGAGTCCGCACAAGTGAGAAGTGGCTGCCACTGCTGCTCAGTGCTAGAGTCTGCACTGTCTACAGTCCAGAACGGACTCGGTGTAGGCAAGCCCTGGCCTGCGTGTAGGTTAGATCGCACTGTGCGCCAGCGTCTACATAGTGCGAAAGCCACACTAGTTCAGAGAGCAACCGCTGAACTTTCTTGTACACACAAAACTGAGGCACCAGTCGTTTTTTGTGCTTGCAGAGAAAGCGGTTTTCATCTTTGGTATTTTTAGCGTGGACAAGAGAGTTTTCTTTGCTGTTTGTTTCCAAGAAGTCAGTAGTAACGGTGTCCTCGGCTTATCGGCAGGGAAGCGTGCTTCCCCTGGCGTCGCGGCGCACATGCAGCACGCCAGAGTGACGTCGAGTCTCGCCGAGAAGAACAGGCGATGCAGAAGCAGTGAGCGGGCCGGGAAAACGGTACGTGAGGTCACAAACAAATTTTTGGAAGATGTTTTTTTACTTGTTTGTGTGTCTGGGGGCTACGCACACAGATAGAAGCAGTCCAAAATACACTAAAAGTGTCATGCTTGTAGCGGTAGAACTTCGGCCAGTGTAGGCTTTGCTGAGTCACATGTAAGAAAGACATTTCGGCCGGTGTTTGCTAGTGATGTGGTAGATATTACTTTCAAAAGCGTTCCCACTTGTACTATCCCGGACTGCTGGCATTGCTTACATGAACCCAGCTCTGGCCCAGGCTTAGTGTTGGGGCTCTGTAGGACCACACTTCTGCAGTGGTGGTCTTGTAAACATCACGGGCCTGGTCAATGCGTATGGGCCCATGGGGGGGGGGGGGTGTATTGTGGAGGAGTGTGGCCCTTCTGCTGGGCTATGCAGTGACATATGACTGCACTATTCATGATGGTGTATTTCCATGACTCCCCACTCCAGTAGCTTGGCAGGCACTGTTCATGATGGCAGGTTGTGCCTGTCAGCCATAAACATTGGCAAGATTTGGATTACCCATGAGAGCGACTTTCATATATCACCCATGTACTACCCACGCGCAATGCTGCTCAATGAAACCAGATTGCGTGAGTCAAGTTTGCGGCCTGGACCAGCAAATATCCCAGTGTTTGCATGTATCAGGCTGCACAGTGCCCGCATACTTGACTCATGCTATCGGACTTCATTGACCAGCAGTATACAGTGGCACGGCTTGCCATTATGTTGACTGTTGCTTGCTTGACTAAAAAAAACATACTTCAACAGATTTCATGGCAAAGCAGACATTCACAAAGCTTTGCAGCTGTTGGGAACACAGCTGGTAGCAAGCCTCGCGGAACACACCAGGGATAAGTGCTGTGACATAAGTGGTATGGAATCATTGGTATGGTACTCTGTATTTTACTTCATCACGCGAACAGGCAATGATGCCTTCTCACCAGACAAAGGCTGTCTCTCACAGAATGATGATTTCAGAAATATTTATTGGCATTTGTAAACCAGAAATCGGAAAAGAATCCTTCTGTGGTAGAGAACAAGATTACTGCCCATGGTCACCCCATTCTTTTGATGGTACACCTTAGCCC